AGGGTGCACCACGTGGGGGTAAGTCTATCGCACACCCCAGATTAAAAAATTATGGTAGCCAAACTGAAATGGCTATACTTCCTAAATATCTCCTTTTTCCGACTTACGAGTGCGTTCCATTAATAATTACAACATCTTCATAACGCCTTATTTAATCCTCATTAAATCCAAAAAATACTACAGGTGTAAATTATGTTGAATAATCTCTACAATACAGGGGAGGAGATGAAGGTAATAAATAATAAAAAAAATAATGAAATCAACTAAAACTAGAGATGAAATAAACTCTAAATACAGCCCATATTCTTTCGACCACTTGAAGGAGAACCTCGAATGGCCAGATCAATCAGTTAACTTCAGTTTTTGAACTTGCTTAAGTCGGAGCATACCTCGGTGGCTTTGCAACGGTGAATTCAAAAGTGTACATCTTCGGCTTGAGAATAGGGAAAAATCTGCTGATGAAACACTGAAATCTCCACCGAACAGCTGGTAAACTATACTTATTACTAAGACTTATATTACCATGAACAGATGAATAATACTAATAAAAAAATTGGTATAAAGAACGTTTTATTGAAGCTTTAAAATATATGTATATATGTATATGCGTAAGTGAGACTCTCTTATACTACCGACTAAAATACTCCATTTCCATCTTTGATTCCGTCGTATCCTTCATTCTTGAGCCACTTTCATAGCCCCATTTGAGTCTTTTCTGTTTCTGTCGCTGATTGCAGAACCATACTCGAACAACGCTCTTTGGTAAACTCAATAGCGTTGCAATCTGGGAAATTCTATCACTAGAGGGCTGATGTTGGACAGCGAAATAGGCCTCTAGAGCTCTCTTCTCACTGTCTGTAATACAAGTTCTTTTTCTTCGATTTGGATTACCTCGACTTAGAGAGTTTGGAGAAAAGAAGCCAGAATCGTGAGCTTGAGGATTAGAGTTTGCTGTTCCAAGGGCCTCTGTTCTATCTAACCAGATTTGAAGAAGCGGTCGGAGAGCAATCATATTTGACCTTGAAAGGGTCAGAGACTCAAATCGGCAGATAGTTGATTGGGAAAGGCTTTCAACCCCAGGGATCATCATTTCTCCCAATGCTTTCCCAACATCTGCTTGAGTGATGCCCATTTTCATTCGACGCTGCTTAAAGTGATCAGCAAAGATTTCCAAATCACTATCGGGTGGGGGTGGGGGTGGTGGATGTTCTAAAGTTTGGGGAAATGATGGAGCTGTGGTATTACAAAGAGGTACAATTTCTCGATTATTTTCCCATTGAGGTTGAGTTGGAACAGGGTATTTATCTTCTCCGATCCACTGAGGCTGCAATCCAGGATAAGGATAATTGCAGTAATCTGGAGAAGCAAATTGTGGCCAGTATAAGTTACTATTGCAAGCCATTCGTTCATCCTTCAATTCTTCTTGAGAGGTGGAATTAAACGTACCATTTGATGAAGAATAGAAACAGTGCTGAAAAGGAGTAACATTGATAGACAACGGTATCATATAAAAAAAGGAAAAAATGAATAATTTATTAGAAGTACTAAATTTCTACTAAGATCGTATTTCCAACCTGCATCTAGTTCGCTTAGTGATTCGAGTGAGAGAAGGATAGCGGAAGTCATCTTATACTCAATTCTTATTGGGTAACAGATGAGGGGGGTGCGTGCGCTCGTACTCTATTGGTGCATTATCTGCGCATCTGCAACAGCGATTCGACTTGATTGCTATTTTGGTTGGTTAGAGAAGATTCACTGATTTGCTTTGTTTTTGTATTTAAAACTATTTACCTAAAAAATTAGTGAATAAAGTTGGGTAACTTTCGAATCCAATAGGGAATCAAAACCCTATATTAGGCCTACATTTACAGATGCGCTTGAAAACATAGAAGCAATTGCTATGGGAGGAAAGCATATAACTGTTTATTGTTTTAGAAACAAAATTGTTCGAGGAGATATTTATTAATTTCAAATAGCAGGCGTTTTGATAGTTGTCAACAGCCCTTTAGCTGACTTCGGGCTTCACAAAGGAGGTGGAACGTTAAAGTGAGAAAAAGTGGGAGGGAGAACAGCTTAGTGTTTCGCAGATGTAAACGAGACTGAGGTAAAGAAAAAGATAAGTACTGGGAAAGTGGTCGAATATGACATACGTTGGGGTGATGTTAGTTTGAAGTGAGAAGTCGACTTCCGATTGACAGACCTTTTTGCCGTATGAGTATACGTTGCCCAGGGTGCACCACGTGGAGGTAAGTCTATCACACACCCCAAAAGAAGAAATATAAATAGATTTTTACTTGGATTACAGAAGTTTTGAAAGATTCTAAAATTTTAGAACTTACTGTAATATCCAACAATTGATGTTGTTGAGGCATATTTGACTGCTAGATTTTAAGTAAAAGATGGTTTTCAAGAATGACGTCAACCGGTGTGTATTGTTAAAATTTTTCGGTCACAAATAACTTCACTAGGAATGCATCCAGAGCTCGATTAATTACGAATTAATTAATAAAGTAAAAGTAAAATCAACTAAAAATGTCATTATTGAAATTAACTCAAATGCACAAATGATTTTTCTAAAGTTATGCAAATCTTTGCCAAAGGATTTACCTTTGTTTCCCAACTAAAATCTTTCATAATTATTGTCAAAATTCAGCTTATTCAAGCCACCTCAATTGGAAGAAATCACCACATTAAGCATCAAAGTTTCACTAAAGAGGCCTCCTGAGATGCCAAGCAAAGTGAAAAGTTAGGGCATACTTCTTAGATAAAGAAGATATTTATTTTGTTGAGATGCGATTGAGGCATTGTCCATGTGGCTTCAAATTTGTAGATTCCTCAGTTAGATAAAGAGGAGTTGAGGAAGAGAGTTGCAAGACGAGGGCAGGTGGCACCTAAACATAGCCAGTGGACTGACTCGCGCAGATACTTACCTCTGTTCGAAATGGGATATTTTACTTTTATCACCTTGATAATCTCGTAACTACTCCGAGCAGCTGGATTGGCGCCATTTCGTGTGAGTTCAGTGAATGGAGGTATCTACTCGAATAAAAGGGGTGTGAGAAGTTTAACACCGCGAGATGGGATGTGAGAACTGGATAAGTGGAGTGAGGGGTGCGACGGGAGGGGTTGGGGGCAGGGGGGGGGGGTTGTTTTCAGATCGGGGGGTCCAATTGGCTTTCGCCAGCTACGTGATTTATTTTTAGGCAAATTTGATTTAATCATCTCGGACTGAGAATGCAGTTTTGTATACTAGGAATGATGAGCACAAGGCATCTGGCTTAAATTTTAGCATAATTAAATGATGCAAAAGAAAACTTGAAAACTTGGAGTGAGACGAATTTCACTGAATACTTAAATGATATAACAGTCAAAATTAATCCTTGAAACCCCATTCTTGTCTCATTTACCTATTAATTGTTTGAAAAGCGAACTAAGTAAAAGTAGGGTACGCTTAAGTTGAAAAATAGGTATCATATGAGTTGATTATTCTTATTTCTTCAAAGCAAAAGCCACCAAGCTCCATATTAAGCATTTATTTATTTATTTCAAATGGCAGGCGTTATGATAGGTATCATTAGCCCTTTAGTTGACTTCAGGCTTCACAGAGGGGAAGATGAACATCAAAGTGGCAAAAAGTCGAGAGGGGGACAGAATAATGATTCACAGACTTAAAAGAGACAGACACAAAGGTAGGAAAAAGGTGAGGTGAGCACTGTGAAATTAGTCGAATATGAAATGCAGTGGGGTTATGGTAGTTTAAAGCCAGAAGTCAACTGCCGATTAATAGACTTTTTTTGCCGCATGAGTATACGTTGCCCAGGGTGCACCACGGGGAGGTAAGTCTATCGCACACCCCCCATATTGAGGATATGTATATACCTAAGACTTATAAGTGGATAAGTTTTTCCTTCGATTATTAAATAACTAATTATTGGTTGAAATGTAAATCTAATTGGAATAGACACCACTAGACAACATTTTTAGTGAAATCATTTCATGAAGCTCTGTTACATTTCCCTTTTATTTATGCCTAAACCGAATATCATTTTACCGCCTCAACCATTGGACAGAACTAGAAAATGAAGGCTCAAAACCACTCCTTCTTAATTGAAAGTTCTCATCGATAAAAACACGAATAATGTTGACAAGTATAACCTGCAACCCGTAGCACTAAAGTCGAATGAAGTCAGACTATTTGATACCACAATGACATTTTGATGTCGTTCCGTTTATTTACCATTGAGCCCTATGTTAAGCAATTTTAATTAAAATTCATAATTTATTTCTTATTATTGGTAATAACAAAAAGTTGTCCTTTTTTTATGAAATTTCAGACGTTAATTAATTTTTTTTGCCGATAAATAAACCCAAACTTACTAGCAGGAACCTGAAGTGAATAGCCCATAGAAGTGCTACTTTCTGTAAACAACTGATTTGGTGTCATAGCAAAATGGGAGTATTAAATTTGAATCAACTTTTATTTTCCTTCAATTGCCTTTGAGAATATTGTGATTGAGAGATATGTCAAAGTTGGGAAGCTTGCATTAACATTTTAATTGGATGCGCACGAACAAATCAATCAGTTTAGGCTTCCCGAGGGAATCGCAACACCTATTTTGCATACAAACGGAATTTGTTTAATTAAAAGGGAAATAAACTTCATAAGTCGTAAAAATCCAAGTGTAGTAAAAAAACTGAAGTTATTTTGCCTCCACAATCTGTTTAATTATATTTAATAAGTGTTTTTTACAACAAAAGGCAAAGCAGATGAAATTCAAATAGTTTAAAAATTAGTTCACTTACACAATGCACTTTTTAACAAACTCATTAAAATTATACTTTTAATTCTTAATTTATTGAATTGAATAATGAAAGGGGTTCAAAATTTATGCACTTGTTTCAAATGGCGGGCTTTATGACACTTATCATTAGCCCTTTAGCTGACTTCGGACTTCACAGAGGGGGGGGGGGGACATCAAAGTTAGAAAAAGTGGAGAGGGTGAACAGAAGAGTGTTTCAAAGATGTTAAAGAGACAGACAGACAGATACAAAGGGAGAGAAAAGGTAAGATTAGTTCGGTGGAAGTGGTCGAATGTGACATATAGTGGGGTCATGACAATTTTAAGTCAGAAGTCAACTGTCAGTTAATAGACCTTTTTGCCGTATTAGAATACGTTGCCCGGGGTGCACCACGTTTAGGTAAGTCTATCGCTCCCCAAAACTCAACGTCAATAGTGCGCCACCACCCGCCCGCTCGCAGGCAGTCAGGCACCACCACCACCACTGACATTAATATTAATGCTCGGACGCAGTCTCAGCCGCCGCATCATTATTCGCCTAAGCACACATCCTTCCAGGACTGCGAGCATAGCAAAAGTGGGCCATGCCATGACCCTGGAACGAACCTCGCTGTGTGTCAACAGGGCGAGGAAATGATCGGTGAAGGTCATCCACCTAGTGAGAAGTTCCGTGTGAGTATTGATGAGGTCCACGCTCTTTGGGCTGAACTCAAACAGGCTTTAGCTGATAGACAAGCTGCTCTAGTTCAGAACGAGGTTGCTCAACAATACCTCTTTGATGCTAGCGAGGCGGAAGCTTGGATGGGTGAACAAGAGCTCTACCTCATGGGAGAGGAGAAGACTAAGGATGAACAGGGCGCTACCAATGCTATAAAGAAACACGAACAGGGGTTCAAAATAGAAGAATATCCCAAAACTAGAACAGTGATCGATCACGTTCTTGGTTACTTTCATTTGCCATAGATTTGCTTAATCAATTGTTCAACTACAAACATAATGATTAACAAATCAAACATTCTGCCAACATTAGTTTCATTAACCTTCTAATGCAGCGTTTTCATCTACGTATAATCTTCTTCCTTCCGTCTCTAGGTATACATTTTTATCAATATCAAATATCAGGCATTATGATAATTACCACCACCACCACCACCACTTTAGTTGACTCTGAGCTTCACAGAAATGAAGAACATCAAAGCCACAAAATGTGGATGGAGGGGGGAGGGGAGGAGACAGAAGGGTGATTCACAGATGTGAAAGAGACAGACACAAAGGTAGAGAATAAGGAATGGTGAGTACTGTGGAAGTGGTCCAATATGACATACAGTCTGGTACTGGTAAGTTGAAGTGAGAAGTCAACTGCCGGTTTATAGTCCTTTTTGTCGCATGTGTATGCGTTGTCCAGGGTGCACCAAGTGGAGGTAAGTCTATCGCGCACCCCTTCTCCTCAATTATGCAACTTCCTATTCAACTTGATAGATACAAGGCTCTAGTATTTTGCCCGTTCTTTCCAAACACTTATATCTTTGAGGAGGTTATAATTCTATCAAGAACGATAATAAGAAAAAAATGGTTTTTATTCCTAACTCCTAAAATGGACTAGATAATAGTCTGTGTTTGAGAAATACCCCAGGTGGTACATTTACCTTTTGAGCGTTTCAGAAAGAAATATCCCCAGACGTTTGTAGTGGATTGCTACACTAGTAAAACCTTGAATGACTCATAAATTTCTGTGTCAGTTTCTCCTATATCTAGCTAGACTCCCAGAGCTAGCTAAACTACAGCCCAGCTACAGAGGAAACAGATATATCGCAAGGAACACGTTTATTTACGAAGTATATTGTAGTTAAAGTGTACATACCATAAGGTTAGTCATAA